GCGACTTTGCATATCTTACTATCATCAGGATTCTCGAAGCTTGTCGTGACAATGATAAGGCGGTGTGTTGCATTATTTTTGTTCTCATATAGCCCCGATTCCTTCTCTTCTACTTCAAATAGTAGATTGTGTAGTTTTCAAAAATGGATTTGATCTCTCATCCATTAGAAAATACAGGATATTTTATACTATATTATGTTGACAAGTAACTTTGCTTTCGTGTTTTGAATCTTGAAATTTATATGAAAATCTGCATATCCTATATTTACTGTTTTTTTTGTTCCTCATTATATTAAGAGTAACTTGTTTAAGCCTTTTTCATAGTTTTGGTATTATCACTCTTTCATGAGTCAACTTCCTTTCCTAATTACAGCTTTTTAGCTCTCTTAGTCAAATCAGAACTTACTCTCTACCACTTTGCTGTCACTATCTATGCACTTAATTAATCAATATGATCACTTGAGTTCTAACATACATTCTCACATAGTTTTACCACCAATTTCATCTTTGCATACGATGCTCATGCTTTCTTATATCATACTTGCAATTCCAACCTCGTTGGACTTCTGAATACAGTAGTACCATTCTCAGCTATCTCAAAACCTAAACAAAGTCTTTGGAATATTCTCTTTAGTCTCTGCTGAGTATATTACATTTATAATGATGCAACTAGAATCTACATCTTTTATTCCTTCATATGATATCAGGTCCTTTACAATTCAGCAAAGTGTATGAGGACACAAAGACTATTCTTTGATTATTTAGACTTTTTCATGATCTATTTGATACATAAAGACAAGGAAGTAATTCTCGCTTTAATTCAGTTTGTTACCTTAATCTACTACGTTTGGATTATAAAGTAAATTATTCATTAAAAAAATACGTATCTTTCGCTTCTCTTTTCTTATTGGCTTTGTTTTATACAGGTCACTCGGTCTGCCGAGGAATGTGCACACACTGTGGCACAATGCTTGCCTCAGGATCTCTGCCTGAATGCTTTGACGCCACTTGTGAACAATGCTCGTCATCCCATGAACCTTCCAGCGATTAAAATGCAGTCCCGCGTAATACGTTATTCTCCAATTGAGCTGGTTAACCACGTTCTGCCAGATCTCATACCTGGCCTCATTATGGTAAATCTTGGTTACATTTATCCAACTTTTACATTCAAGGAGCCATATGTAAATTATTTGAGGACAAATCGCGTATAAAAGCATTTTTTATTGCATAACATCCGCAATCATTACATTGTTTATCTTTGCTAATCTTTTATTGCTATAAACTCTTCCTGCTTTGTGCCGGGCTTGAATTAAGCATTTATATAAAGTTCATCTAGTTCTTTTCAGCATTGACAGTGAGTCTCGCCATTCTTAGCACAATACAACAACTCGTCAAAGGGACAAGTGAATCCGATCCTTTGACTAAACATATGCTAAACCAGTGGTTCCCAAACTTTTCATAGTCGCGGCGTCCTTTTTCATACGTTTGGCCTCACTTGTCTCTTTGACGAGTTGTTGTATGGTGCAACGAATGGCGAGACTCACTGACGATGCCGACTACGATGCTGGCGAAACGTTTTGGAATGCATTAGCTCCACGGTTCAACTTTGGAAATGATCGTGCAGACAATGGATTCCGTACTAGTTGCGTTCCTCTAGGTCTTCCTACCATATGAATAAGTTGCGAAAACAAGGTCAATCATCCTCTATACAGCGAAAGTAGACTTAGACCACACGAAAGGCCACGTAATCTTGGTCTTCATACCTTAAATTAAAACTTCATCTAGTTATAATTTCTACATGGGCTAAAGTTATTTATTTCATATCGTAGATATGAAGACCAAGATAGTGTGACCTGATTGGTCGCAGTCTCCTTTAGCTTTATAATGTTATTGGTTCGACTTTTTTTCGCAACCTGGTCGAGGCTTCATGAAGACCTTGTGGGACGTACCTTGTCCTGTCTCTTCTGCCATATTATTCGTTATTTCCAGCATTGGACCATTGGCTGTGTGCATTCCCAAACGCTTTGCCGGCATTGTAGAAAGTAACGTCAATAAGAGGCGCCAACGTAAGCAACTTATCAATGTGACAAGTGAAGATAATCACTTTGACCAATTTTCTGTCCAATCGTTTAGTTTAGATTTATTTATTTGCAGTTTGGCCTATACATATTTTTTTCCCTAAAATTCACCATTATTGGCAAAAAACATCTATTAATAACGTGAAATTGTTATGCAGTGCCTTATCCATTAATGTATTTCGCTAGTTTCAAGTCGCCCTTTTATTATTCTGCTCTCTTGTCAGATTAATTTGTTTAATTTCAACTACTCTTAATTCTTATCTTTCATAGCTTTGTTTTTTTTTCATTCTAAAGCTCGTTTAAATGTTTCATAAGCTTA